GCTGATTATAATTAATTCCCACTCACCTGAGTTTCTTGTAACGGCGTATTGAAATATTTATTAGCATCCCATGCTGCTAATTTGCCATCCAAGCCACCACTTAACAGAGACCCATTCTCTAATAATCGTAAGCTTAAAATGCTTTTCTGTTGAGAAATAATACCAGCATGTTGACATTCTGTTTTAACAAATGAATAATTACCTGTTATGTCCTCTAATAAATACAATCAAGACATATAATTGACACTGTCCTGGTGTCTTTAACATATTGTTCAGTGGACAGGGAACAAAATAAGCTAGGGATAGGAGGGATATCAGAAGTAATAGAAGAAAGAAACGGAATCAGCAATATAGGGAAGGAAGGACAACTTGCTCAGTCTGTGTTGATGTATTTATCAAATTCTCAGATCTACATGTACCACAAAAGACATAAAACAGTAAGGGGAATTTGGATTTAGAGCTCATGACTACAGGTATGAATTTATCAACAGATCCATCTTACAGCTTGTACCTCATGTGCATTCCTTACAACAAACTTGATCTTCTTTGATACTGAAATGCAAAAGAAAATAAAAGTTGGTCAAGAATGATCCCATTTGTCATTAAGAACACAGCTGATTGTCAACAACATTGCAGTTACATGTACCTTTTCCCCAAACTGTGATTGAGCCATTTGAATCACCAGTGATGACATCTCCATTAGGAGAAAACTCTAAGCACGTGAAATATTGTGGGATCTCATATTTCTATCAAAATAAGAAGGAAAAAATCACAATGTTTGTTATTGTTAATAATAAAATGCAGTAATATGGTTGAGTGGTCTGACAATTTCAGCTATGTTAATTTTCACCAACCCATACACCTGTACAGCCACTGTAAGGTACTGTTAAGCAGTGTCTTTTGTTTTTAAAAAAATCACAACAAAAGGCACTAATTAATACAAATCTGAAATAACTACATCTACATATATTGCTTTTACGCCTGGAGGGAAAACCAGGTTTACCCTGAAAGTATCTCTCTCCAGCCAGGACTGGCAAACTGTTAATAAGACCAACCCAAGAAAATGCTAGCAGATAGCTAGAGGGTCGTACAGGGGGGTCTCTGGTACGGTTCACGAACGGAAAAAATAGAGGATCACAGATAAAGGATATAAAAATTTTGTTTTCCCGAATCATGAAAATAAGCAAGTAAGATACTCTTTTTAATAACCTCTTCTTACACTAGAAAGAGTGTTTGAAGAAAGAAAAATCGTAAAAGGCTAAGTGAAGGCTCCACATTGCAAATTGCATGTCTAAGTCACTCTTGATAGACGACTCTAACCATTCAGAAGACTTGCATCTCAAAATCATGTAGAATAGAGTGGTGAAATCATGAATATCGGTTAATATACAAGTTCTTCACTGGTCATGCAAAACCTTCAGGTCATGGATCTCGAAGAATAATTTCCTAAATTCATGTTTCATGGAAAATAAAATCAGCTAATCACGCATCACCAGAATACCCCTGTATGACCCTTTCGCTAACCTCCAGTGGACTAAAGACATCATTCAGGATGACTAGCAATCGATACTGCTGGCCCATGTAGTTCAAAAGGTGGATAATGCTATCCACCAGAAAAATCACTATCCAGTGGATAGCGTGGTTTGGTTTGTTAACACTTATCCACTGGATAGCGATTTATTCGGTGGATTGCATTATCAAGCCTTCCAACAAATGGGGCCTGGTTGTTTTAAGTTCCAGGATCCAGTAATTACAGTGATGACAGTGATGACCCTTCTTGCGTCCCTGATCCCTTGCAGTAGAATGAGCAAAAAACAAGAATCTTCACCAAAAGTCATTAAGTAAAATCTTAATGTACCTCAAAATATCCATTCTTTCTTTCTAGCCTTGTGTTGTGAAGCCTCCAGAAGTTAATGTGTTCTTTCCCACATGTCACAAGAGTCTTGCAGTCATCTGGATCAAACATCACTGCCACAATAGCACTATACTGGCTCTGTTCACATCAAAATCAGTATAAGCCTTTGAGCCCGTACTAACCAACTTGGCCATAACATGCTTATAATCAATAATTTTTTCTATTCACAAACCTTGCTTTGTTGAGTGATTGCTCTTTCTTCCCATTCCCACACAGTTAGATGATACTCGTCATCCAGTGCATCCACACAAGCAAGTTGTTTCCCATTATCCTGTTACAAATTTAACAAATAACTATTAAGAGTAAATAAAGATGCCAGTTCATGAATCAGCCCTCTCCCCCAACCATCATATAGGAAGGTTAAAAGGAGGAGGAACAACTTACCTTTACCCCTTGAACCAAAATAAAATTATAATTATCATGGGTGACAACCTACTAGTTAATTTTGGTGCAATTAAGAGTTAATTTTCACATTATGAAATTACAAAATTTCCTCTGCAATGTTTGGCACAAAATTTCTTGATACAATAAACGAGGCAAAAACCCAGGATTGTAAACTAATATGTCACCCATGATATTAAATGATAATCAAATGGTATGCTCGTGAAATTAAGAAATAATATCACTCGTGCTTTGTTAAAATTCAAATAATTTCCCTCCCCTGAAGACTTGGGAAATTATCAAAATTTTGACAAAATGTGCGTTCATGAATTTATTTCCTGATTTTGCTTGTCGCCATTTGATTACCCATACATGTACTACTCAATCAAGGCATTGATTATTTATATACCTCTTGTGAAAACGCAAGACATGAAATACTCAGACTGTACTCTTGTAGTGCCAGAACAGCAAGAGTAATGAGTGTCTCGGCATCCCAAATGCGAATATGACTCTGTCAAAAAATAATAATATTATAAAAACAAGAATGAGATAGTTATCATAGCATTATCACAAAATACCTGCGCCTCTTGCTTGGGTCAACTTATTCATGGTTGTTTCAAGTGAGAATTGTTTCTGCCAAAAAATCCATTCTTGACTCTTCTTTTTTTGTAGTATTTCATTTGTTGTTAACTATCATTAAAACGTACTGTGACTTACAAGTTCATTTTGGTCCACTGATAAACCAGACGCTTGTCCTGTTGCTATGTACCACTGGTTAGGATGAACAGCCAGGCTACAGCAGAAAAGACACAGATCTTTTAATGACTAGTCGTCTAATAACACCATTATAGCATGGAGGCATCGCAGCCTTATGGTTAGTGCGCTTGCCTCAAGACTGAGCAGTCCAGGTTCGACCCCTGGCTGGGGACATTGTGTTGTGCTCTTGTGCAACTGCACTTTACTCTCACAGTGCCTCTCTCCACCTTGGTGTACCGGTTAATTTAATACCAGGGGGTAACCCTGCGATAGACTAGAATCCCATCCAGGAGGGAGTAGAAATACTCCTAGTCGCTTCATGCTTCATAAAAATACTAAGCAGATGTAATGGTTACCATTTAATATCATCAGCATGTCCAGTATAATGTCTTTGGGTGTTGGTTGTCTTGTTGTATATAACCACCATTGTGGCGACAAAGTACAACATCTCTCCAGAAGGTAAGACATGGAGATTGTTGTAGCTGTCTTTACCATGGTATCCATATCTAAAGAATTCTTCCATCAAGGAAAACGCTACAGACTGTGCAAATGTGTTAATATGAAACCATATTTTTTTCTCGTGTGCAAGGTATCAAGAGGCTTTGACACTGGAAGGCCACGACTAGTGAACTAACGTAAAATTACTACAAAAAATTGAAAAAAAATTATATTTGGGAATTTTTACAGGGATTTCCATAGATTTGGGAAGATTTTAAAGCCCTTTCATTGACTAATACCCTGGCATTTACAGCAAAGAAAAATCTGCCTGTTTTAAATCGTAGTACATCCCTGTATTATATCCACCTATTAGAGGTACAGTACACTATAAAAATTATTTATTAATTAAAATTAAAATGTCTACTTTATTGTGGAGGCATGGTGGCTTAAAAGTTACGCATTGAGACACTGGGTCGAGTGTCAGGATTTGAGCACTGGCTGGTGTCAATGCATTGCGTTTGTTTTGGGAAGACACTTAACTCTCACTGTGCCTCTCTCTATCCAGGTGTACAAATGGTACTGGTGAATTTAATACTAGGTAACCCTACAATGGACTAGCATCCCATCCAGGGAGAGTAGAAATACTCCTACTTGAAAACCACTACCGAAACCAGGATAAGCTCCAGCAGTATGGACCACTAAGCCTGATGCAGACTTTACTTTCCAGAGGCCATTACCCCTTAAGAGCTCTGGTGCAGAGACTTTGACCTGAGAGAGGTCCACTGTAGAGAGACCTAAGATGGGTGTGTGTATTACAGTTCTAAGGTGTCACTTTTAGGTCTAAATCACCAACTTGATGAGCAGTCCACTATATACTGCAGTAAATCATGAAAAGATACACCCAGGATAGTTGTAGCTTGGAATCAGGAGGTGCCACTGGAGTGTCGTCAGTTGTGTATTTATCTAAGTCTGATGTGTGATGATAAGTATGCACTCGTCCTTTCACCTTTATGGTCACAACTTGGCTTTGTGCTGTGAAAACAAGATACATTGAAACAACACAGTCTATTCAAGACCGGAAATAGGAATTAGGAGATAAGAAATAGGACATCCTGAATTATTGAGTCCAGGGAAAAAACTCTTCACACATATTTTGCATTTAAGATTTTTAAATCTGATTCTAAATTAACACTTTAATAAATAAATATTAATCAATAATACTCTAATTAATTAATATTAATCAATTCTTAATAATTATAGTTATTTTCGGTAATATTTAATAATTTTTTAATTAATATTTTTACTCACAAAGAACCATATACTATATGTTGTGACATGCCATATCATTTTCTGCAAACTGCATCTTAATTTCAAAATTGCATGTAAGGTAACATCAAAATGTATTCATTAATTACCTAAGAGAACAAGTAGAAGAATTAAGAATGCAGAATGACAAGATAGATTCTGATCAGCTTGAAAATAACTTAAAGTTAAATCAGACCGAAACATACCAGATGGTTCCTCTCTAGGTTTCTTCCGTGATTTCTGTACACGTGTTCTTTGCTGAGGTGATGCCGAGTGGCCATTACTGCTAAGAGATGATGGATTGGACAAGTTTCTTTTAAAGCCTTGTTCTGAGCTACCAGCGATAAAGGTGTCAGTGTCTCGATATAACTGTGACAGGCCTTTCACCTAAAAATTGAAATGTCATCATCAGTAAATATAAATGTGGATTTCACAGTTTCTCTTAACAGGAACTTTTTAGCACATTTTAAATCATTATCATGATAATTTAGATAATAATTATATTGTTTTATTATTATTATTAACTTGTTCAAAACTAACTCAATGGGTTGGTCAAAAGATAAGTGGAAAATTTGTGTGAATTTTTTCGCTCAAGAGTGCCTGAATTTTTGCATGTGGTTTTTGATTTGACAGTTAATAAAATCACTACCCTGCATTTTTTTACTGGTCTGCTCGATCTTCATTTTCGAGAAATTACGTATGCAAAAAAACTCAGTTTTCCTACAGGGATCTTTTCAAGATCTTTTGTAGCAGGAAAAACAAAAGAAACCTTTTGTTTCCCTGAACAATGAAATCAGCAAAGCGTCACATTAGACGCTAGCTGATGTAGCAAGTACTATAGTCATAATTGAGGCGATATTGAAGTGAAAATCACAAAATTGTTAAGGCTGAGGTAGTGCTTATTCCAGAGTTTAATTTAATTTTTGTGAAATTAAACTTGTTAAGATATAAACAACAAAAAAGAGAGAGATTCTTAAATTCCAAGGTACAAACAATATGAAACCAACCTTGGCAATGTTATGACAGAAAACACAAATCAACAAATTTATTGCAAACAGATTACCCGGACAAGAAACATCTTTTTCACTGGATGCACTAGTCCTAGAATGCAACTGAAACATTTTTAGTTTAATTTTACAATGATTTTACTTATTATTCTGGGACTAGAAAAAGGCCATCCTCAATCCCTCAGCATTTTTATGAAGGGAAGATGATGAACATTCTTTGTAACACAGTTTACCAGAATGACTGACAGCTGTCTGCTGTTCACCCTAAATATTTACCAATGGAAAAAATATTAATTTTATGCTTCATTTATCTAGTGCACTGTAAACTAGCTCCAATCAAGAAATTATCCAAGCACCCAGTTTTAAAATAGGCCTTGTGCAGAAATTTGAAATTTTCCCACTTTTATTTTTCTAGTTCTAACCAGAAGAAGCAGCAGCTTGCAATTTGCTAATAATTAATAATTCTACAGGAATATTTTTCACTTAGTAACCATCTATATTTCATAATATTTAAAAAGCCTCTTTGTTTGATCAGCTAACTTGGTTTATAGATTCAGACGGTTGAGAAGAAATATTCTTGAAAATGATTAGAAGCGACAGAATTTTTTCAACCAATTTAAACTCTGCTTGTATTATTCATTGACTTCTTACCCGACTGACGAAATTTTATTTACAAAATTGCAGGTGCTGTTTAATTCTTTCAAAAAAATATTTGTCCGCATAATAGTAAAACCGATCGCATTTCAATGTTTTGGTATGTGAAGTTTTTCCGTGGAAGTCCATTCCGCAAGCGACAGTGTGAAGACAAAGCAGTTTTTTTTGCAAACACCTCCAACCCGTACAATTCATTTTTTTTATATACATATAAAGGTTGACCGGAAATATTAAAGGATGGAGTTTGTTGAACTTGAAAAGTGTTTAATTTAAAGCGGATAATCTTGCCTAAGCCTGAAAAATAACAAACAAAGTGCTCGTTTTCATAGAGGGCAGTCTTTCAGACTCTCGAAATTGTGAAGTGATTGTTTTTTATTTTTGACGATTTTCCGCTAACGTACCTTGCCTCCTTCCAAAGTGCGCAGCTCTTTAACTGTGTATTTCAACATGTCAGAGATGTCTTTTAAAACGTCTTCGAAGCTTTTTACTGTCTTTCTGTTTAGCAGGATCTTGCATTTCTTGTTTCTATCGTGCTCACTTAGGATTGTTATAACCCGCGGTTTCGGATTTCCGTCAGAATTACTCCCGCCAAACTTCGAATCTCTACTTGACGAGGACAGCGAAGATCCGTCAGACAAGCTTTCTACGTCAAGCGAGCGAGGCTTCTCTTTCGGCTTTTTACCGTAGTTTACATTCTTTATAAGCTGGTCTCCTGAAGAACAGATATAATGCCTTCCATGCTCTAACTGGCCGATACTTGTGACCGCACTTCCACCGGGCGAGAAAACATTTCTCACTCCGTACGGAAGTGGAATCGCTTTTGACAGATCTTCCACAATGGTCTCGAAAGACCTGTATCTTTGCCGCGTTACCACCATTTCAACACCTTTGAAATGCTTATCCCCGTTACGGTAGAACGTAACTCTTTTCACAGCGTTCACTCTACTTCTTCGCTGGTCTTTTCCGACTGGATCTGAACCAGAATCATTAGAAAATTCCGGATTTGACGAGTTAGAATTACGCGCTCGCCGAGGGTCTCCAGCAGGTGGGTTTCTAACGCTTTCGTTATTCCGTGCTGGCAAAGGAATGCGGCTATTTATTTTACCATCTCTTTTCTGTGGCCTTCTTTCTCTCACATTTTTATCAATTTCTGGAAGTCTAACGTGATCGTTGTCTTCCAAATCGCTGTTGCTATCGGCGGGAAAAGGCCGTCCACGGTGACTTGCGCCATTCGGCACTGCACGACGTTGTTGATGAGTACTGGCGTAACCGCGTCCGCGATAAGACATCGTTAAGTCCTCGAAGCTGCCATCTCTAAATATTTTCCTAGCAGGTATCGACGATCCATCTTGGTCCCAAGGAATGAAACGCTTGAAATTTGCTAGAAAGCTCGCGTGAATCCATTCAAAACAAACGATCCGTTTAATGAGCCGACATGATTGCAAAGCTTAACCAAATCAGTTGGCCCTTTCCAGTCTGGAACTTTTCAATATTATTCAGTCCATTCACGGCCACTACTTTCATTACGTTCGCTGCCAAGCCGTCTTATCTCTTATTATCTCAACCTTGTGTACACAAGACTGACGTTCAAGACAACTTGTCGACCTTCTTACAGCAGTTGCTTTGTCACGGAGATATTGGTGATCAATTCCAAGGACCCCTTTGTTTACTTGCCAACAGAATTGATTGTTAATCTCTGAAAGTGTCCCTACCATTGTTAAGTTAATCAATACTGTTGTCAAGAACTCGTAACTAGGGCAGGTGTTCGTGAATACAGACGAGGAGACTTGATTGAAATGCAAATGTTCCGTGAACCGAATCATGAACGCCGCCATTTTGATTGCATTCGACACGACCGCGTGACCTGGAACTGAGTCTGAAAACTGGCGACAGGGGACGGGTCGGACGGGTTCAACAGACGGATTGCATAACTTGCTGGTACTCTTCTGTAAAGGTTGTCGGAGCTCGATCTTTTTCTTCGTGAACATCTGCTTATCAATCGAGGTATGTAGAGACTTCCATAGGTAGTTTAACTTATTCCTACATTACAAACATAATCTTGTCTGGGTCTTATCTGAGTTATCTGCATTTGGGTGCGCTGCCGCTTTCTCAATTACTGTTTCATATTTAACTTAATTGCTCTCCTGAGTGAGAACTCAGCTCTGGCCCTGTCTCTGTCACGCAATGCTACGCTCTTTGGAGTGTATAAGAGGGTCAGAACTGGACGAGACTCAAACTAGCGGTCATGTGATCGAGAAACCGGAAACCTCTAGATCGTCGCGTGTTCATTTCAGTGCTGGAGATTGATCTTGCAAAAAAGGGTTTTTAAATCTTGACCGTTTTGGTCCGAGACACTTTTGTCTTCCCTTTCTGATCCTTATCAGTTTATATGCATTGGGGTAGTGCAGATATCTTGCCCCGTTCCAAGTATCATCATCATCATCATCAGTCCTCATCACGCCATCGGACGCATAAGGCCTTCCAAGTATAGGCCTCCATAATGTGCTGCGGCTGTTTCATTGTCATTGGCCCCTGGCCATTTTGATACATCACCGAAATCAATTGACCATGAAGGCCTGGGAGAAAGCCATACAGGAACTCATGAGTTGGTCATGTTTCAGGGATTCATATTTTAGAAGGGCCAAAATGCTTTGCCTCCTCCCCCTCACCTCCCAAGTCCAGTTCTGGCCGTCACTCATGTCAGCATATGAGGTGCTTGACAGCATGTGCTGACAATGTTCCTGGAACCTCTCTACCAAGAGAATGGTATTGCATGACAGAGAAGCCTACCCCATCCAGTGCAGAAGAAAGAAAGGTCCTGATCAGCTACACTCTGCCAGGGTCCCCTTTCACATCATCAAGCTCATCTTCACTCTGCCCCACACCCCCTCCCATCTGCATCTGACTTATGTTTCCTTGTAAGTGAAGCCTCCCTTATTCACTGCTTAATCAGCATATTTCCCAAATTTATTTACAAAAATCAATTTTACTTTTCCTTTATTAATTTTTTTTTTGGTTTCAGTTTGGTTTGAAGTCTTTCCTAATGATGGATGTCAAAGAAAAACCAACTGGGTTTTTCCCATCTGTGTCAACGCTTCTTGGGCAACACTGGTACAGGGCAAAGGCTGCTGTCTATCTGTTTATTTTACTCATAACAATGCCATTCTGTCTTCTATTTACTATTTCTTGTTGGTTGTTCGGAAGAAAGGCCCACAATTGTCAACGTGTTGAAGAATCTCTCAGGCGTACTGTATTGGTATCGGGCGTGGCCCACACTAAGGGCCTGCATATTGCTAAAACCTTGGGAAAAGCTGGTCATCGAGTGATCTTGGCAGACTTAGAGGACTTTTGGTGTTCTGCAGCTCGATGGTCACGGTTTATTTCCAAGTTCTATACCGTACCAAATTTAAATTCCCAGGATGGAAAAGAGGAGTATATAAATGGAATGATTCACATTGCCCATGTGGAGAAGATTGATTGGTATATTCCAGTAAGCCATACAAAGACAGCTGTGTTAGACACAATCATCAAACAGCGTCTTGCTGCGGCAAATCCAAAAATCAAATGTCTTGCTTTTGATGATCCAAAGTTGACTGCCGTTCTTGATGATAAACTTCTCTTTCTAGAGGAATGCCGAAAACTTAATCTTCAGGTGCCATATTTCCAACAAGTAAACAATGTTGAAGAAGTCCGTGAAATGGCCAAGAAAGGACTCTTTTCAAGAGCTCACTACTTTCTTAAACCTTTGATGCCTTATTCTGTGGACCGTGTAAACTTCACACGCATACCAAGCAATGCAGAGGAGTTTGACAAGTACATCACTAGCTATGATTCAAAGCTTAATGGTGACAATCCATATCTTGTCCACCAGTTCATAAAAGGAAAAGAATTTGCAGCTAATGTCATTGCTGTGGATGGGCATCTGCAAGCTTTTCATGTCTGTCCTTGTTCACCAATGCAAATTGACTATGATGTTGTCAAACACCCGGAGATCAAAAAGTGGATGGAAACATTTTGCAAAGCCAAGCAACTCACTGGTTGTGCTTGCTTCGACTTCCTGGAGGATGAGAAAACTGGAGAAGTTTATTGCATCGAGTGCAATCCGCGCCTTCATTCAGGCGTGGTTTCCTATCACATGCAGCCCAACCTTGAAAGAGCAATACGTGGAGCCTTGGATGTTCAGTTTCAGTTGTCCACTGCAATAGAACCTCCTGTTTCTTCTGCTCATGTCTTCTGGTTATACAATGAAATTGCCAAAGTTGGTCTTTTCCAGCAAGGACTTGGGGAATTTTTTTCTACTTTGTGGACTGGTAAAGATGCAGTTCTGGATGCAAATGATCCTTTGCCATTTTTTATGCTGAATCACTTTCAAATGCCCGTTATGCTTTTACAAGCACTCATAAGTGGTAAAAGATGGAATATTACAAACTACTGTCTTGGACAACTGAGGTAGTTCAATTTTTATTGTGCCAGGTTTTGCAAACTTACAGAGAGATGTCAAAATCAAAAGACTTGACTTAATTGCTGGGGAAATTGTTATAAGCACTTTTTCTTTTTTTCATTGATTGGAAAGGCATCATTATGGTGTAAAATAAATATTGATTTACACAGTCAGTATGTTTACAAACCAGACTTCTCTCACCAGAGATGAATCAGATGTATGAAAAGAGAGAGTCAGAGAGATCTGTTTACTCACACTTTTCGTAAAGGGACATCCTAAAATGTCAAATGTCAATATTTATTTCTGTCAGAACATTACGTAGAAGATGGTAGGTAAGGAGGTAGGTAAAGTTTGTGTTCAAGCCTAGCTGCCCATCAGGCTGTTGCTTATCTACTAACAGTTTCTGTAGCATGAGGCAATTAGGAGTATTTCTACTCCTGCCCCCCTCCCCTGGATGGGATGCCAGTTCATTGCTAGTTCGTCTTGTCCAAGAACACAACACAATAATATTATCCTAGCCAGAGCTCAAACCCAAACCAGTCAAAATTATATTATGGAGTTCAGTCTGCTAACCATTAGGCAGCTGTGCCTCCCAAAACATAGTTAAACAACGCATTAAAAACCTTTGGTCGCTTGCAATATTTTGTGAACAAAATGTTGTTAATACTTGCTGAATAATGCTGTTCACAGTATCTGTAGTATTATTGTCATTTACTTTTAACCCTTTCACTCCAAGGTGAAACCTGGCATCAGCTTTATGATTCTAACTTTTACTTATATGTGGATGACAATTAAATTTATTATCTAGCATATAGCTGGCATTGGTTCACTGGCTCTCTGCTCCATTTCTTCTTGTTGCTCTGTTGCACATTTGCAGAGCTTTGCTGCCTGTGTGTCTTTACAGCTATTTGTACAAGTAGTTTGTCAGTGTGCCAACAAAACCTACAGACACATGTGACTGGCTATGATTGATCATTCAAATGAGAGCTAAAGCATAACTTTCATGTAGTGCTGTTTATTATGCTGTACAAAGTGGTTCTGGCATTTGTAGACGAATTTTGGCTTGTAAGTTACCACACAAATGAAAGCAAATCAGCAGTACCTTTATATAGTACTGTTAATTTATGTAGTACTGTTAATAATGTCTTGCTCTACAAAGTGGTGCTTGTAGTTTGTAGATTGAAACCCTAGTGTGTGGCCATGCAAATAAAAGATATTACAAAATACTCTCAAGCAGTGCTCTTTGTTTTTCTGTACTCTTCAAACTGAAATTTGGATTTTTTTTTTATTTTGAAGTTTGGCACTCTTTTATATGAAGTGGTTTGGCAACATGTACGCAGCGATATCTTGATACACTAAATTACTTATTTACGATATGATATAAGAAATTAATGACAGTCGTCCAAAAATCACTTGGTTTTCTTGAATATCATCTGATTCTTCTTGCTTTTTTTCTGGTCATTTCTTGCAAGGCCGGCTGATTTTGTAGCATTTAAATACTTAAACATTTGTTTGCTTTTTATTACGTTGTTTGAGTTTGTATGAAATCATGTGTTTTGTAATCCCCGTAGCAATGTCCTCTGCTGTCTTATTTTGTCCAAAATATTCAGCAAATTCACCTGTTGGATCCACAAGGTATTGAATGATGGTGTGGTCAACCTGTGAGAAAGATAGAAATGGTAAAATTGATGATGGAAATTAATATTGTGGGGTTGTGACAATGTCCAGTGAGTGCTACAAAGCATGGTAAGTGCTCCACGCTGATTCTTTTGTACTGTCTATTTCCTGTGCAGAAACCTTGCGGGTGTGTTGTTATTCCCACCTGAATGAGACAGGAACCTTAACCAGGCATCAAAGCTCACCTTTCATTAAGTTGAGAAATCTTGATGAAACCAAGATTATATGTCATATTATTTGATGTAATTATATTACTGTACATGGAAAGCTCTGTCGTTCAATTAGTGAATAATCAAACACTCAAGACCATGTTTGACCACACTTCCTAACACTGAGAAGAGAGCTAAAAATATGATGGATAGCTGAGTATTTTTGACGAACTTCACGGTGTTCGGAAATGTGGTCAAACACTGTCTTGAGTGTTTGATATATCTTCCCAACTGGAACTAAACTAAGAAAAAATGGAGTAAATAAACCAAAAAAATTTATGCTACATGTAGTTAACATCAGAAATCCAAAATTAACGTTCACTGTCACAGCATCGTGATTTCTTTTGTTTAAAACTTGATGAATTATTTTAGAGTTTGCAAAGCCTCTTAGACCATCAGTTTGGTGCTTTTTCTAGGTTACCATAACATGAAGCAACTAGGATGGAATGCTTGTCCACCACAGGGTTACCATCCAGCAGTTATTCAATTTTGATGGTACCAATTCATACACCTGGGTGGAGAGTGGCACTGTGAGAGTGGAGCAGTCAAGTGTCTTGCCCAAGAACACAAAACAATGATCCTGCCTAGGGCTTGAACCTGGACTGTGCTATCTAGAGTACACAAGCAACTAGGCCATCTTACCTCCCAAAGTACAATGTTACATTCACTATGTTTATGTTTATGAATTATATTATGTGACACATACAATGTAGTCATTGTCCTCATCTGCTGGTCCTTGACTAAAATACACCCTGTAAGCCCGGCAGACCTGTTGCACTTGCTCAAGTGAACCTGTCAGACCAAGGAGACGGGGATGAAACTCTGCAATAAAGCAAACACAGTTGTTGTGAACTACTGTGTGTTTATTTAAGTACTCTTTAAAAATGGTCAACTGGTTCACTAAAAAAAACTGGAGCAAAGGGAAGGGAATTATTTTGCATATTTTCATTAGTAATGGCAGATTGTCCAACAAATGTGTAGAGGAGAGGGTTTGGTGCCTGTTAGGAGAACTTGAAAATTTTCAGAGAAGTTTGAATGCTTTTTTTACTTCAACTGATCAAAATCTGCAGAAGATAGGTACCTTGCACATATTGTTTTACAGCCTCAACATCATCCCGCATGGGATCAACTGTAATGAACAAGGGTTGGAGTTCTGCACCCAGCGACTCTTTTTGCTTGTCTGAAAAATACATTCATGCAAACAAAAATAAAATTACCATAAATCCTCGAATTAGCGTCCCCCCCCCCCCTCGAATAAGTGCCTCTCCTTTCGGCTGAAATTTAAAATAAGCGTCCCCCCTCGAATAAGTGCCCCCTCCCCTTCCCCCCATTTTGTGGACGAGAAATGAGACAAAGGATGTATAGTTTTCGTCATGTAGTATTGGATCTGTACATTGTTTCAGTTTGTGAACACGTTAAGTACTAACGGTGTCGCGATTTAAACTTTAGGATCAGCTTTTTGTGTCAATAAACAACTTATGTTGGTGTTTACATGCAGATGATGTATTTAAAAAATGATCATGTCAGGCCATGATTTGGGAAAAATTAAATAAGTGCCCCCCTCAAATAAGCATCCCCCTTGAATAAGTGCCCCCCGTCTTCTCCTAAATTTGAAATAAGCACCCCTGGCGCTAATTCGAAGATTTACAGTATTTCTTCACATACATGTAATAATAAAATCTCTGTCATAATTTTAAACCATTTGAGGAGTGCACCAGCTGGGCCAAAGCCAGGGGTATGGCACAAGACAGGGCCGTTTGCTGCAGCCTCCTGCGCCTCATGGCACAGCATGACCTAACAAACTAACTAACTGACAGACTAATGGACTAACAGACTAACCCACCCACCATTTGAAACCATTAAACATATGTAAACACATATTCTAATTTTCATGTTACTTTTTTGGTCATTTATCAACATCTTAAAACATTTATTAATATCTCTTTCAAGGATGTAGCAAAGAGCCAACAATTGGCTAATTTCATTAACTGGAACAATAGCTCTTTGTCAGCTGTTCAAAATTTACTGATGTCTCAGTGCAAAAGAGGAAAAGAGGTCCAAGTCAACTCTCTTACTGGTTGAAACTTGCATGCAAAACTCAAGATCAATTAGAGACACTGTATGGATCACTATAAAGCTATGCTATCAGCAGGCCCGATTTGAAAAGTGAATGAAATTTGTTGTGGCTCAAGCCAGCAGTTTTTAAAACAATAAGTGCCAAACCAATTGCCTACCATGCTTTGTTTTGGATTTGACACAGTCAAAGAGCCTGGTTATCCATTTGGCTAAAAGCCAAGCCATAAGTATGGAACTGTTTTAAATCATCTTTCAAATTTTTAAATTCTTAGAACTGAACACACATCAAATAATTATGTGTGATTTCTCAAGTTACTGAACGGCTCACCGACAATGTCAATGGCCTGTCCCATTTTTTCCAGCTCGTCTGGACAGATATCAGGACAGTGGGTAAAGCCAAAGTACAGCAAGATCCATTTGCCATGGAAATCTTTGTCAGTCACAGCTTTTCCGTTATGATCTGTCAAACTAAATGGTCCACCAAGAGCAACTTTTCCTATTGAGCGATTCTTTTCCTTTTGTTTGACTGCATTTAAACAGAAGATGAGAACAAAATATTATTAGATCTGTAGCTTTACAGGATAAAACATGTCTTTTTAAACATTTCAGTGTGATATTGAACAGATGATTTTCTTCTGACAGTGAATCTTTAACTCTTTTAAACGCAAAAATAAAGTATGTAAAGGAGGGGTACACTAATATTGACCATTTTACAATCTCTTAATATTTTAACTTTCATTGCATGTATGTAGTTAGGTTAATTCTAATTATAGTTACTGTAATTATTATAGTTAGGACTTTTTTAAAATCATTGTAATTATGCATATATACATGCTTGTTTTATTCATTGTTAAGTAACTTTTTATTGTTCATACTTTGTACTATTCTTAGTTATTTTATAATTACTCATAGATTTTTAGCACAGAGGGCCACTAGGTTATCAGTTTATACTGTCATATGTTACCCTCTCTAAATAAAGTTGATTGATTGATTGATTGATTGATTAATTGACTGATTGAGTATACAAAGATCTAGGTGAATAAAAAACCACTGACAGTGATACCAAATGCTAAATGTCTAAGAAGACATTTGCCTGATGATTTCTTTCCCCAAATCCTGGTTCTGACCCTGTATTAAAACTGAATGCACAGTCAAAAAGAACAATAGAGCTACTAGATAACCAATTAAACCAGTTTTCCTCCTGCAAAACATTGTAAGATAATAACCCTTTTTGTGGTTGGTTTTTCTCATTTGCATTACAATGTAATCCAATGTGGATGCGAGGCAATTTCAGGTTGAAACTACAAAATAGCTAGAAAATGCCTCACATATGTGCTCAATTATATTGTAATGTGAGGGCTATTGTACTGGTTTTTGCATACTGTGTCACTATTTTGTACTTTCCCAGAGATGCTGGATACCAAAAAGTAAAACATTACTAGATATTAATTTAAGATTTTCTAGAATATAACCATAACACTGAACAATATCACACAATTTAGACTTTTCTCATCATGAAAGCAACTGAAAAAAATAAAGTTACTGGCTTTCTTACTTCGTTCCTTTTCCTCCTTAAGATAACGTACATAAAGCAGGAGACCTCCGCCGGCAAGTGCGACAAGTGCTAAGGAAGCCCATGTCACAGGTCCTCTCTTAGTTGTTCGTTCAAAAGCTTCATCAAATGACTTTTTATTTGATTTCTGTTCTTCAGCCCGTGTAACTGGATTTCTTGCAAAGCGTATCACAGTTCTATTTTGAGAGACATTGGGGATGGGCCTCACCTGAAAAAGAAAAAAAAAACATTAACATCTTTGAACCCCTAGTAGTGTTGAAGTGCCCAAATAAATAGTGTTCACTGCTGTTGAGTTAAGTCAGTTAGCCTGATTCTCAGATGGTCAAGGTCGCGCACGGCAATGCACTCTCTCTTAACCCTGGGTAAAGAAACCTGTTCTTGACGTTGTAAATTATACCCTGTTCTAATCTAGTGAGTGACCATAAGCAACCTGGTCCGAGAATCAGGCTAGTCTGCAGTCGAATATTCTTTTGTTTAAAGGCACACAAACAAGGCAAAAGGGTCAATACAAAGCAGAACTGACCACATATATACAGTAAGCTATATAGGTATGTGCCACTGTAAAGGGTATAGTTTTCAGGCAGTTTAGTCTGGAATAGGGCATAGAAATCAGATAGTTTTGGTCTAGAATAGGATATAATTTACAAAGTCAAGAGCAGGGGGGTTCTCTACCCAAGGTTATGGTAACTCGGAAGTGACATTTTATGATATTGGTTTAGTTAGCAATTGCTGGACTATGATACCTGGGAGGTGGGAGGAGAAAAAGATGGGTGTGCTCATTGGAAATTTTGAAAAGAACCCCTAAGTGGTACCAAGATCCTGTTTTGTGGGCGTGGCTTAAAATTTTTTTCACCTTTACGAGGTACTAATTCAAAAACAACACATTATCTCCTGTCTTATTTTTTTTCAATTCAATATCCTGACGGGTACCTGAAAAGCTCCAGCTGTGGGGCTTTTAATACTGAACACCCTATTAAGTAACAACCACGTTTTTAGCTCCTAAAGAGTACGACAAGCACCCCAATCCTTGTTATATTGGAGTCCTCCACTCCTCAGGCTATGATAGTGATAAAGTTTCAGCGTGGAAAATAGATGGTCTGAGGTAGGGTAGGGATTTTTGGTGCCTAGCGAGTCTAGAATAAGGCTGCAAAATCAAGCTGATCATGGTCTAGTGTAAGGTAAGGGTTACAGCATCCCAGCGGTACACCCCCACCAAAAGATTTACAGAGTACCCCCCGAGAAAATGAATATGTGTATACCTGCCACCCTTTTTTCAGTAAAATGCGTGAGATTTTTCGTCTCCACAGAACCTGAATTTCCAAAGATTTACTGACGACTTCCGAAGATTGCCGAAGATTTCCAAAGACTTCCGAAGATTGCCAAAGATTTTGGATGACTTCCGAAGATTGCCGAAGATTTCCTGACGACTTCTAAAGATTGGCGAAGATTTCCCGACGACTTCCGAAGATAACTGAAGGTGTAGAAAGATTTTCGACGACTTAACCATGACAAAGGAAACCCAAAACTTGTCACATCACACAATCTAAACACGAGTTGGTGTCGCGAACTCAATACGCGTAACGGAGTAAGTTTGAAGATGCTTTTTTGCTGGAATCACCAACTGTTTTTTGCCGGAAAAAAAAGTGAATTTTTATTTAATCGGTTTTTCAGCAATAATATTACACTCGCTATTGCCAGTTAGGCGTGAGAAATTGGTCTGAATGTATGAGATCACAATTTTAGATCCGCAGGCGTGAGACTCACGCTTAACGCGTGAGAATTGGCAGTTATATATGTGATACATGAAAATGGGTTAAAAGTCACACACAAATGTGTAAAAACTCAATATGTGCTCTAAGCCCCAACCACTACACCCAGCCTTCCCTAACTAAAATACACGATAGGGGCCATGACAGCTGTCACGGAATGCAATGATTTTTGATAAAACGATCCCTGTTTTCCATCACATGTGACTAAGCTAATATTCAGCACGTGCCAATTTCTTTGCACTGTATAGGTCTATATCACTCCCGATTAGAAACTTTTTCAACTTTTTCTTTTGCGTAGCGAGAAGAAAATTATTGCATAAGCCACGCGTTATACCTCAAAGTGCGCTGCTAATCTCCCTGGCCAAGTCACTTGAAGGAACGTCTTGGGTAGTTTTAAACGATATATGCTTTGTCTCAACATCCTTGATTTCTGATTAGGAACTAGCAAAGTGAAAATGCGACGAAGATTTTATGGAACGAGACGACAAGGAAAGTTTACTGCTTTAGAAATGCCGCCATATTGGTTTAAAAGACGCGGCTACCTAGACGTTTATAGTCCCAGTCTCCCGAACGAAGTCGTGGTTACTAAGCTGACCGCTGTCATGGCCGCCGTGTTTTGTTGTTCAACGGGTACAATCGACTTGAAAGTTGACAGGCTCTAAATAACAGCTTGTTTACCTGTTGGAATTGCTATGCTTTATTGATTAACTCGTTGCGCTTCGAAATGGGAGCATCTGAATATCTTGTGTAACATTTTTAGCCTGGAGTTGAATACTGTGAAAGGAATTCTACGGGAAAGATTTGTCTCAAGTGCCTGATCTGGAAAGCTAAGACTTAGCGAGCTATATTTCCGATAATGACCTGTTATTTTCCAGTGGAACATTCTATCAAACGGCCATTTCAGCAGCTCCGTAACGATCCGTGACTGAAGAGTTGCAACTAGACACTCTTCATACCATATCTACACATGAGAATGGTTGTCATTGGAGACCGCTGAATCGTTGAATTTTGTTGCATTGGCTGTGTTGGGACAAAATATATTGTTACATTTGTACATAAAAGGTAGTACAGAGCAACCAAGGCCCATTTACCGATATGGAAGTAGTTGATTTAGAAAAAAAGTCCCTTGAAGACACAATGGAGGAACATGGATTTTATGAGACAAATGATCAAACAGCTGATGCTGATACCAACGGCGAACTGACTCAAGAGGATGTTGATAAGTTTCAACAAAACCATTGGCAGTTTTCTGATGAAGGTAAGAGAAAGGAGTTTGGAAAATGAGAAAGTTTCCGAGAAAGGGTTTTCTTATGAATCTTGTGGGAACAGAAACAAATGTTTTTTTCCATACCATTTTAGAAACTGTAACTTAGGCTTTGTGGAATACAAAACTACTTTGGATGAATGTCATTTCAGTCTAGATCTGGTGCAAATTTATGAACGGGTAAGCCGTTTATGGATCTCAGAGGTTCTTTACACAAATTGTGTGCTGCTTTAATGATTAAGTCCATTCCAATTCAAGGTTAATTATTTCGCTTCTCATCTATTAGTATTTTAAAACAACTCTTGTTTGGATTTGGCCTGGGCTTTTATATATTTACATTCAGTTATTTCTTCTTTATTGACTTGTCATGCAGGGCCAATTGAATATGAGAGTGATCCTTCATCTGATATTGACAAGAATTATTTCAGTGATCAGGAATCTCTCACAGGGTGAGGCTATGAAAGAATGAATTCAATCAATGTTTGTCTCCAGGGCTGTTATTAAGGGTTATATACTGTTATGGCTGAGTATGCTTGATGGGTCCTTGATGTTACAGGTAAACTTGTCTGTTGTTTAGATAATTTACCCACAAACCAACAAGTTTGTTACGAGTTTGAAGATCAAAGCAACAGGTGACCTATAACTTAATGACAGCGCTGGTACCAAAAATTTGTTATTTGCGTAAAAAATATTTCAAGCATGTTTGTCTGATCTTGTGTATTTGTTTAAAGTTTTACTTTGAGAGCTTTAGTTGCTGAAGATTTTTTTTCTAGGGATAGAGATCTTTAAGCCTAAATCACCAGACAAGTTACTTTGCAAATCTACTGACCCAAAGTAGAGATCTGCAACCTTGTTCCCAGGATCTCTTTTGCTCCACAGACTGGGAAGAAGAGAGACCTGGGAACAAGGCTGAGAAATATACCGTTGGTAGATAAAATATGTCCGCCCGATTGAAAATCAACTTTACCAGCAACTTTATAAATCTACTATTCCTCTTTCTACTGATCTACTGGTCAAGATAGAGTTTTGTATCATTCTGATAGCCTGGCTGATAGGGCTAGTGCCACTTAAAGGCGCTCAGTCTCAGTTGTTTTGGCCACATACAAAATTACCTTTGAACTGAAGGAAACCTGAAAATAGTAGACAGTTTACTAAGATAGAAAAACACCAAAGGGGTAATCATAACCCACAAAGGAACAAGGATGGTTAAGGATGGAGAAGATTAACACAGATTATACACTTAAAACAAACTTGAAAAATTTAGGTTAAACTTTTCAACACACACAAACTGTGGCGTAGCTCCTTGAAGTCTGATCACTTGCAAACAAACACAATGGTAGTTATATTATCAATAATAAGCATGATAACATTTTTGAATGATCACAGTGAGGCAGAGATATTTCAATTCTATTCTTTGTACCAAACCAAATCCAAGGTCAGTTATTTGTGATTTACAGAAGTATGGATGGTGGAATGGAAGAGGATGAGTACACATCCGATCCAATCATTCAACAAAGGAGGCAGGTTAGTGAAGCTGCCTACTGTTTTGAGGAAACTGTTTTTAAAATTTAAGGTTACATTGTTCGGTCATCTCTTTATAGTCTTAAAATAATGCATCTGGTTGTAGATTCATCCCCTGTGAGAGATATGTTGGACACTTGTGGTAATTAACTATNCAACTTTACCAGCAACTTTATAAATCCACTATTCCTCTTTCTACTGATCTACTGGTCAAGATAGAGTTTTATATTATTCTAATAGGCTGGCTGATAGGGCTAGTGCCACTTAAAGGTGCTCGGTCTCAGTTGTTTTGGCCACATACAAAATTACCTTTGAATTGAAGGAAACGTGAAATAGTAGTTCACTAAGATAGAAAAACACCAAAGGGATAATCATAACCCATAAAGGAACAAGGATGGTTAAGGATGGAGAAGATTAACACAGATTATACACTTAAGACAAACTTGAAAAATTTAGGTTAAACTTTTCAACCGGCACAAACTGTGATGTAGCTCCTTGAAGTCTGATCACTCGCAAACAAACACAATAGTAGTTATATTATTGATAATAAGCATGATCACATTTTTGAATGATCACAGTGAGGTAGAGATATTTCAATTCTATTCTTGGTACCAAACCAAATCCAAGGCCAGTTATTTGTAATTTACAGAAGTATGGATGGTGGAATGGAAGAGGATGAGTATACATCCGATCCAATCATTCAACAAAGGAGGCAGGTTAGTGAAGCTGCCTACTGTTTTGAGGAAACTGTTTTTAAAATTTAAGGTTACATTGTTCGGTCATCTCTTTATAGTCTTAAAATAATGCATCTGGTTGTAGATTCATCCCCTGTGAGAGATATGTTGGACACTTGTGGTAATTAACTATATACTGATAATTTTTTTTATTAACAGAGGTCAATAGAATATCTTTGTCTGTCGGTAACATGAATTCTGAAAATTTTACTTGAAAAAGAACTTAACAAAGACCGGATTTCTTTATCAACATGTAATTTTCCAGCTTGCATCTTAGACATGTTGAGGATCACCTTTTTTCAGGCAATAATTCAATTGATCTAAATACAGTGGTTGGCTGAAAACTCTGTTGTAGGAGAAATTGCAACGTTTGGCACTAAGGCGTCATCTAGACCAACTGAGTGAACAAGTCCTGGAGAAAGACTATCTTGTATCACAGTTCAGGTAAGTGTCTTATTCTATGACTAGCACAGGGTGAACTTTTAAAATAATTGCACATTCTGGTAATTAGCAATGCCAATTTTAATTTACTTTTAGTTGGTTATTAGTAGTATTTGATGGTTCTAAAGATAATCTTACATTAAGCTGAACATATTTTAACCGCAGGAGAGTTTTAACATTCTTTCATTTCTTAGTATCTGTATCAGGCTCTGTCATGGGTCAATGTATGATATTGAGCTCTATCTATTAGATTTTCTTGTCAAGCACTTTTATCATGAGCCCCTGGCTTGAGAAAATGGGCGACCACTCACTGTGTCATGAATTAAACTAAATTATTACTATTGCAGCCCTGACTATTAATAATTACTATTGTCAGTATGAAATTGATGGCAATCTACCATTAACATATTTATTTTTTATTTATTTATTTATTTATTTATTTCTAGAGAAGAGCTTAGTAAATGTCAAGAACACATGGATCAACTGCAGAAAGACAAAGAATTGGTCAGCAGTGAAATAGAAGAAGCTCAGTCTCAAAACAACATGTAAATAATAAATTATAACTCTAATGAGTCATCTGAGTAAAATCAGTCTCCGATCCCACCTTGTACTGATGTGTGCTAATTAGAAATGTAATTGTATTTTTTACTAGGGCTTCACTATACAGACTGAAGGCTTATCACTCCAAGCTGTGCGATGAAATAGATGCTGAAAAAGATGTGGGAAGAGAAATTTCACACAGGCTTGAAGAGGCAGAGTACGTAGGGAGACATTTCAATAATACTCCTAATAATAATAATAATTAATAGTAATAATGATAATAATAATAATAATAGTAATAGTAATAATAATAATAATGATAACAATGTAACGAAAACAGTGACAGTGACAAAGACAATGAATATGATAAGAAATAGCAAATTGGGGCAGCGGCAAATTAGAGCAATCATTATTAATAGCAAATTATGGCAAGAGCAAATTATAGCAATAGCAAATTAGAGCAATGGCAAATTATAGTAATAGCAAATTATAGCAATGGCAAATTAGAGCAATAGCAAATTATAGCAATTATTATAGCAATTATTATAGCAAATTATAGCAAGAGCAAATTATAGCAAGAGCAAATTATAGCAATAGCAAATTATAGGAATAGCAAATTATAGGAATAGCAAAGTATAGCAATGGCAAATTATAGTGATAACAAATTAGAACAATTATAGCAAATTAGAGTAATTATTATAGCAAATTAAAGCAGGAGCAAATTATAGCAATGTGCAGTTCCAGAAAATATCCATACTCCCCCGACAGAAGGGATTGGAATTTCCTGGGGGTGGAGGTTCTGGAAGACCAAAAAATTTGAAGAAATATATGAAGCTTAACTGAAATTTCTGGAGGGGTGGGGAGGTGTTAGAAAAAATCCCTTCCGTGGGGGAGGTATGGATATTTTCTGGAACTACACAATAGCGAATTAGAGCAATAGCGAATTAGAGCAATAGTGAATTAGAGAAATAGTGAATTAGAGCAATAGCAAATTAGAGTAGTGGCAGATTAGAGCAATTATTATTAATAGCAAATTATGGTAAGAGCAAATTTTATTTTTGAATATTTGCCATTAATGGATAGGGAATGATTATAAATTGCCAACATTGTNGTAATAGTAATAGTAATAGTAATAGTAATAGTAATAGTAATAGTAATAGTAATAGTAATAATAATAATAACAATGTAACAAAAACAGTGACAGTGACAGTGACAAAGACAATGAATATGATAAGAAATAGCAAATTAGGGCAGTGGCAAATTAGAACAATCATTATTAATAGCAAATTATGGCAAGAGAAAATTATAGCAATAGCAAATTATAGCAAGAGCAAGTTATAGCAATAACAAATTGTAGCAAGAGCAAATTATAGCAATAGCAAATTAGAGCAATGGTAAATTATAGCAATAGCAAATCATAGCAATGGCAAATTAGAGCAATAGCAAATTAGAGCAATAGCAAATTAGAGCAATAGCAAATTAGAGCAATAGCAAATTAGAGCAATAGCAAATTAGAGCAATAGCAAATTAGAGCAATAGCGAATTAGAGTAGTGGCAGATTAGAGCAATTATTATTAATGGCAAATTATAGTAAGAGCAAATTTTATTTTTGAATATTTGCCATTAATGGATAGGGAATGATTATAAATTGCCAACATTGTAGTTACTTGATTCCATACCTTGTTATATTGTGTTTCTGTAGATTTGCTCTTGCACAAGCCACTGTTGAACAAGGAAAATTCCTTCTTGCTGGTAAAGAACTCGAAAAAGATGAGAAACTCATAGAGAAACAAAAAGCTGAGTGGTCAGCTGTTCGTTTACGAAAGGAAAACATAAGTGCAGCAGCTGCTGAGAGGAGGANTGTGGAAATGACCTGTTGCAACCAATGATTGTGCCTTTCTTTACAGAGTTCGTCAGAAAGAAGCAGAAGAAGAAGAGCGTTCTCGTGAATACATGGAGGACAGAATGCAGGCCATACTGAGCCTCAAAGGCAACATTGAGACTAACAAGGTGCAATAGCTGGCTTGATAATTAAATAAAATAATTACACTTTCATTTGTAACTTGTGGGGTGCATGAATGTTGACTTGATAATGAACATCTTTTGCAAATTCCATTTAAACCCCTGTCAAAGGAGATAAGAGATACCATTCTACTTGAGGTGATAAGCAATGTCATTGTGAGCCTTTGATCCATTTGAAAGGATACACCTTTTGATGAAGGTATCTTCACATCATTTGTGGCTTGCAAGGAGTAGATTTGATGTATTAAAGTTGGAATTAATTATTAAAAAGCCACACTGTAAGTTCAGTGTGTTGGCAACATTTTGTTCCAGGAAAATCTTCGGGCCCTACAGGCCCGGGATTCTAAATTGAGGCTTGAAAAAGAAGAGGAGGAACTGAAGGAGAGGCAGGAGATCTTAGCACAGGGGTTGAACCCTGATGAAGAGCTGACACGTAGAAAGAGGATCAGGCAGTTTGAGAAGGATAAGGAGTAAGTACAGCATTAGAGGGACTGTAAGTTAATTATACTTGGCACTCAAATAAATAAATTCCATATTGCTGTGCATCAGTGGGGGGTGCGGTGGTCTCATGGTTAGTGCGCTCGTCTCCAGATCGAGTGGTCCAGGTTTGGGCCCTGGTTTGGAACATCGCGTTGTGTTCTTGTGCAAGACACTGTACTCTCACAGTGCCTCTCTCTTCCCATGTGTATAAATGGGTACTGGCAAACTTAATGCTGGGGATAACCCTCCAATGGACTAGCATTCCATCCAGGGGGGGCAATAGAAATACTCCTTGTCACTTCATGCTACAAAAACCGAGATACACTGTAAGGTCCGGCCTGGTTGGCCACTTGGCCCATATGCTGACTTTACCCTTTTTTACCCTTGCTGTGCATCTGTGTAGTAATTGATCACAGATGACATAAAAATGTGGTAATAACAACAAAGTGGCACATGAGGTGATGGCGAAGTGTATCACTGATGTTCTTACCACATTTTGACTTCTTACGTGATCAATTACTGAATAGATGCATGGCAACATGGAATCCATTTGTTTGCATAATAAAGAAACAAAACAATTCAATGACATCATCTATGCGACTATCCTCCAATTGATCATAGGTATGAACCAATCAAAATGTGAGAATAATTTGACATTTTGTATAAGATAATTCTTATCCCATACCATTCTTTATTCCTAACTAGTTGTATTGTCTTTTCCTTTTTTTCATCACAATGTCTTACATGTACTTGTCTAAAAGTTATCTTTGACAGTCAGTTAAACTGCAGAATCAATTTGATAACTATATTTGGAGTGTAGAAACCCGATAAAAATTCATCTCCCATTTGGGGATGTATCTTTTTCCTTGAATGTGAAAATATTTAAATGCATTGTTTTGATGTCTTCTCCGCAGAGCATACGAAAGGAGACAGAGAGAGCGGCAGGTAAGTAAAATGCGTTTTATGTCAAGTTCACAGCTTTTAATTGCAAGCTACGATTATTGATTTTCTTTCTTGTCTGGACACAAACAAAGTTCTGTTCATAATTTTTGAAGGTTGAAATTGTTGACAACATACTGAAGGAAGAAAAACAGATGAAAAAACGTTATCAGCAACAGCCTCAACTGTGGCCCGAAAAGCAAAGAGAGAGGGTTAAGGTAATGTGTCAAGTCTCTAGTATAGGGTCAGTTAGTTTGTCAGAGAACCCAGTACTGACTTCATGACAGTGGAACACTGTTAATACTGTGACCAATGGGCCGTGGAAATTTGGGTGTATTAACGGGGTAGGGTCAAATTTCATGATGGCCTAAATTGAGTGTAGTAATTTAAAACAACAGATATATCACAATAAACCATTTCCGAGTTGCCTTTTGCCTCTGTTCCAAAATGAGTCATCGTGCAAAACTCTTGTGAAAATGAGTTTGACTTGAATGAAAATGAACTTACAGATGAGATGCATCTTAATAACAATGGTTTCGCACAAAGACTCATTTTGACACGGGGGCAAAGGGAAACTAGGAAATGGCCTATTGCACTTCTAAACAACTGTTCTTTAACAAGCATCTGGAATGCAGATTTAATTTTTTTTAAAAATTGAAATTTCAATCAGTACATACAATATAACAATGGAAAGATAAACGTAACTGGTCTGAGTGGCTGTATTAAAGGGGCAAAATTGTAAAGGGTTATACAGGTTGGAATTTCAGAATGTGGTCGTTAGCCAATTAACGGGGTGACCGCATTAAACAGGGTTTTCTGATAAGAAAATGTATGGGCATCTCGCTGGAACAAAAACAAGTGGCCGTAATAATCAGGTAGCCATTATTTCAACTTGATTGCAGAGAATAAGCAGAAGACGTCCGAAACCCAAGTTTTTCAAGTCTACAAGTGGATCGTCTTCTGTAGAATACAGTGCTGATGTAGAGGACACTGGGGTAATTTCAAATTTTATGCGTAGTTCTATGATTGTTAAAAATGATTTCCAGTCCATACTGCGCACTTTCGAGAGTTTGTTTATGTTTTTTGTTTTGTTTCATCACAAAATGTAAACATTTCACAACTACTTAATACATGAAGTAAATTCAAAGTTTCATGTCAACTGCCATTATGGATGCGAAGCTTCATGCTTCGTTCTTTCTCATATCACTTGATGAAACAACTTGGCAGCTGTAAAACTCAATGAAGCTGCTGGAAAAAGAATTTGAAAGGCCTCAAAGATAAGGTATGTGGTTTGTAACGGATGACATCGATTCGCATTCCATCAAGTGAGACTTATAATGTTTATAAACATTAGGTGCTGAGACTGCGCAGTATTGACTGAAAATGCATATCCTTTAATTCTGGAGAGTAATATTTGATGATGGAATTTTCTTGTCAATGTCAGTTGTGTTGCTCTCAGGGTCAACACACACCAGGTAAACTTGGTGCGGTGTCTTCAGAAGATGATGAGGATGATTTCTCTCCTTATGGCGAGACAAGTCGAGATGAAGCCAAGGAAGGGTAAGTTCAATTCTCTTATATATCATTATTAGACAGCTGAGAGGGTCACTTACTACCTCTCAGACCAGGTTATGTCTGTCATTGGTTCTTGAAACAACAGATACTGTCGCAAGTTGCAACAATGCCACTAGACCTAAAATACAATGGAGGCCTTGTTTGGTAATGTAAATAGAGGTTCCAGAGCAGTAGAAGTGACTGAGAAGGCTTACTGACAGAGAGGGCTAACTACTATGGGTCAGTCGGAAAGTTACTGAGCCAGTTATTAGACCACATCAGCTCTTTTTCAATCTTAAAGTCACAACAATTCTCTAACTAATCAAGCTTGCTTGGGAGCTTACTGGAATAGCTATAGTCCTTAGTTTTTTGCCGTGCGAATTTCATTGTTCTCAATTTGAACTTTCAGGAACAAGGACAGATATTCTGCCAGTACAGAGCTTGCACTTGCTTAATTATCTCGATGATTTAGTATTACAGAGACACCTGTAGTGACCATCTGAT